ATCACAGAGATGTGACGGCATCTATGATTGCTTCGACCTCTCAGATGAATGTAATACCGCTTGTGGGAAAAGAATACTTGGGAACTGGATACTACAGGTATTATGCTGGGTTATGGGTGTACTAGCATTGATCTTCAACTCGTACACCGTATTCCGTGGGCTGACAACTCTACAGGATAGTGAGACTGAAAATATGTTAACCAACAAGGCAATAGTCAGTCTTATCGGATCAGGGGATCTATTTATCGGATTATACTTGGTTTTGTTGTCCGTTTATAATAGTTTTGTATATGGGAACTGGTTTTGCAGACATCAAGCCGAATGGTACACCGGAACAGCATGCTCGATACTGGGGGTCATCAGCACATTTGGATCACAAGTGTCCCTTTTCGCAATGACAGCTTTAAGTATCATCAGAATGTATGGGCTGACTTTCAAGAATATGAGTATTCCAGGCCGTGTAAACAGAAATTCCGTCATCAAGCTTGCTTTCTTGGTAACAGGTATTATCACTGCTTCACTAGCTATAGCTATTACACCATTGATACCATCATTAGAGGAATATTTTGTACAAGGAATGTACTATGACCCCATCTACAAAATATTCATAGGCTTCCCCAACAAAGAGAAACATGTCAAAGTTCTTCAAGCTCACTACAATACCACTAACATCACTATGAACTTGACCTGGAAACAAATCAGTGATAAGGTGGACGGTATGTTCACTCAACAATATGGACTTTTGAGTAGACGTCCAGTTCATTTTTATGGTAACGACGGTGTCTGCTTGTTCAAGTACTTTGTTCGGAGTGACGATGCAAGAAGAATCAGACAATCAATAGAAAGTAGAGCAGACATAACTGATCATGAAGGAGATCCAGTAGTTTGGCTAATGCTTGGTGTGAACTTAGTCTGCTTCATCATCATCACTTGTTGCTACTTAGTTATCAATATCCAAACCAGGCTTTCTTCACGGAGATCAGGACAGCATCATAACCCAGAAAGAGTGAGGGACAATAGGGCTTTACAGAATAAAATTACTCTCATTGTTGCAACTGATTTCCTTTGCTGGGTACCATTTATTGTTATAAGCGGTATGCATAATCTTGACGTTTTTGATGCGACTAACTGGTATGTTACGTATGCGATGATAGTTCTTCCACTAAACTCTGTTATCAACCCGCTGATATACGACAAAAAATTAACAGAGTTCTTAGGCAGACATTTAGGAGAGGTAAAAAGACTCATCAGGCTCAGTACCTCCGCAGTTATGTCTTCGATAAAAAGATTCATTCAGTCAAGGAGTGAAAACATACAGAGCGGGAACAATGATCTAGATGTCATACAGATGGAACATATAAGAGTACAAGAGGATCGGGAACTTTCAAATCAAGTAATAGCTGAGACAGAAAATCTGTGAACTAAAAATTGAACACAGTAGTGCAATTTTAGACAGTCGCAATAGGATATACTGTGTACTATTTCCTAATCATTGGTCAATTGAAGTGAGGCTATTGAGAAATCCTAGATTGATTTAACTTTTACAAACTGTACCATTATGTAATGATTATATTACCTGGCATATCTTTTGAAGCTAAAAGATGTTTAATGTTTATCCGAAAGTCTTCATAACAATTTCATCGAGTCTGCTTTGCAGCAGTCTAGGATATAGGGTTCCATATATTACAGCCTTAACTTCGCAGATTTACTTATTTATAATCGATTATTGTAATTTATATCTTTAGATATTATTAGATCTATATTTCACGCCTCAGCAAGGTTTACCGTAAAATTTTACAAAATCACATTCTGACTTGTTTAATTTTCACAGCATAAACCGTTCATTAGAACATAATTTATTAGGTCCCAAATAATTTGAGGAACTGACCGGATATCCAGCAGAATCCGGCCAGATATAAAAGTAAGTAAATATCAGGTTCCGGTCTGGTTCAAAAGCTGATTGGCAAACGGAAATTTAAAAACTGTCCGGCTGCTCAAACCCCAGATTAGTCGATACCTCAGAGTCTCCCAATTTTGGTCGGCTGATTAAATTTAAATTCCGTTCTTTTCTATAGCGGAGCTCTGAATTTTAAATTCCTATGTTTAAGGAATTCATCGTATCTTTATCATGACAGGACACATTGCATTCTTTACTATATAATATAGTAAACTAGTGTAACCCGGCCTTCGCCCTTCGGCCGGGATTTCACTGCCGCAGTTAAAAAGGGTAGGAGTAATTACCCCGAGTCAAAACCCGCATTAGGTGACCCAATAGTTTCTTAAACTATAATCTCACAATCAGTTATTTCTTGTGGATAATTAAGTCATTATAGCCATGAGGCACCACATTCCATGATCATAAGGTCTGAACACCGACTATTACACCTCATCACCCCCGTCTTGAACCGCTTTCCATTTTTATTTAAATCGTTAAAGAAATTAACCCTTGTTAACTCCGCACCACACCCGCCTAATATATTTGAAAACACGCATTACATTGTCGTATGAACTCTCTCTCTCTCTCTCTCTCTCTCTCTCTCTCTCTCTCTCTCTCTCTCTCTCTCTCTCTCTCTCTCTCTCTCTCTCTCTCTCTCTCTCTCTCTCTCTCTCTCTCTCTCTCTCTCTCTCTCTCTCTCTCTCTCTCTCTCTCTCTCTCTCTCTCTCTCTCTCTCTCTCTCTCTCCTCTCTCTCTCTCTCTCTCTCTCTCTCTCTCTCTCTCTCTCTCTCTCTCTCTCTCTCTCTCTCTCTCTCTCTCTCTCTCTCTCTCTCTCTCTCTCTCTCTCTCTCTCTCTCTCTCCTCTCTCTCTCTCTCTCTCTCTCTCTCTCTCTCTCTCTGCAGTCCAAACAGACCCCAAACACTAACAGTCCCCCTCCCCTAATAAGCTTATGGTATAACATTACAGCGAATCTTCCGGGCTAATCCAATTATGACGCTACTTAAATGCAGCTATAACATATTATACAGTAATGAGAGAGAGAGAGAGAGAGAGAGAGAGAGAAAGAGAGAGAGAGAGAGAGAGAGAGAGAGAGAGAGAGAGAGAGAGAGAGAGAGAGAGAGAGAGAGAGAGAGAGAGAGAGAGAGAGAGAGAGAGAGAGAGAGAGAGAGAGAGAGAGAGAGAGAGAGAGAGAGAGAGAGAGAGAGAGAGAGAGAGAGAGAGAGAGAGAGAGAGAGAGAGAGAGAGAGAGAGTTCATACGACAATGTAATGCGTGTTTTCAAATATATTAGGCGGGTGTGGTGCGGAGTTAACAAGGGTTAATTTCTTTAACGATTTAAATAAAAATGGAAAGCGGTTCAAGACGGGGGTGATGAGGTGTAATAGTCGGTGTTCAGACCTTATGATCATGGAATGTGGTGCCTCATGGCTATAATGACTTAATTATCCACAAGAAATAACTGATTGTGAGATTATAGTTTAAGAAACTATTGGGTCACCTAATGCGGGTTTTGACTCGGGGTAATTACTCCTACCCTTTTTAACTGCGGCAGTGAAATCCCGGCCGAAGGGCGAAGGCCGGGTTACACTAGTTTACTATATTATATAGTAAAGAATGCAATGTGTCCTGTCATGATAAAGATACGATGAATTCCTTAAACATAGGAATTTAAAATTCAGAGCTCCGCTATAGAAAAGAACGGAATTTAAATTTAATCAGCCGACCAAAATTGGGAGACTCTGAGGTATCGACTAATCTGGGGTTTGAGCAGCCGAGAGAGAGAGAGAGAGAGAGAGAGAGAGAGAGAGAGAGAGAGAGAGAGAGAGGAGAGAGAGAGAGAGAGAGAGAGAGAGAGAGAGAGAGAGAGAGAGAGAGAGAGAGAGAGAGAGAGAGAGAGAGAGAGAGAGAGAGAGAGAGAGAGAGAGAGAGAGAGAGAGAGAGAGAGAGAGAGAGAGAGAGAGAGAGAGAGAGAGAGAGAGAGAGTTCATACGACAATGTAATGCGTGTTTTCAAATATATTAGGCGGGTGTGGTGCGGAGTTAACAAGGGTTAATTTCTTTAACGATTTAAATAAAAATGGAAAGCGGTTCAAGACGGGGGTGATGAGGTGTAATAGTCGGTGTTCAGACCTTATGATCATGGAATGTGGTGCCTCATGGCTATAATGACTTAATTATCCACAAGAAATAACTGATTGTGAGATTATAGTTTAAGAAACTATTGGGTCACCTAATGCGGGTTTTGACTCGGGGTAATTACTCCTACCCTTTTTAACTGCGGCAGTGAAATCCCGGCCGAAGGGCGAAGGCCGGGTTACACTAGTTTACTATATTATATAGTAAAGAATGCAATGTGTCCTGTCATGATAAAGATACGATGAATTCCTTAAACATAGGAATTTAAAATTCAGAGCTCCGCTATAGAAAAGAACGGAATTTAAATTTAATCAGCCGACCAAAATTGGGAGACTCTGAGGTATCGACTAATCTGGGGTTTGAGCAGCCGAGAGAGAGAGAGAGAGAGAGAGAGAGAGAGAGAGAGAGAGAGAGAGAGAGAGAGAGAGAGAGAGAGAGAGAGAGAGAGAGAGAGAGAGAGAGAGAGAGAGAGAGAGAGAGAGAGAGAGAGAGAGAGAGAGAGAGAGAGAGAGAGAGAGAGAGAGAGGAGAGAGAGAGAGAGAGAGAGAGAGAGAGAGAGAGAGAGAGAGAGAGAGAGAGAGAGAGAGCAAGCCCCGTAACTCTTGCCTTTCTGCTCAAGCCATTTTATGCAACATTTGTGGTACAAAACCACCAATTAAACCACTTACCACCGGCCGATTTAAAAAAAATTTGCTTATGGGCTTCATCAGAGTTTTGTCGGCACTATACCGAAAAAACCAGTCCCGTAACTCTTACCGTTTTTTTTGTATAACCGACCGGAAATTACACACGAACACACAGACGACACACACACACATTCTGGTGTTATTAAGTTGATAATATATACTGCTATCTGAATGCTAACGCTCTAGTTATGAAGAACAAAATATTCGAGCATCCTCAAATGCTCATGATTCATAAACAGTAACCTGACGGCCGGAAGACAGTCCTCGCCATGTCCCTTTCCAAAACAGTCCGGAAGTTGAACATCAACCAGTACCTCGTCCACATCACAGGACCCGAACTTTGTCTCACAGGTGGTGAAGACAGCGTCTACTGGGTGGCAGCACTCCAGAATTGTCGGACTCTCTGACAAGTCAATATCATTGTCAGCATCATTTCACATTGTTAGTATGATTTAAACTTATATTAATGATTATTTAATCGTGGAGAAGTTTACACAGGATAAACAGGATAACACAGGATAACACATGATTACACAGGATTAAAATTAAATTATAAGTCCACTGTCGTGAACCATCATAATTGTCACTGATACATTTCGCAAAAACGTGAAGTTGAAGAAACAAGTTTCGTGGAGATGAATAGTTAAAATAGTTAGAAAACAAAAAAAGTCAAGAAAATCTCCCGAACCGTTCTTTATTTCGATTGAGTGTGCGAGAGTGTTAAGTGGACATCCTTCCTTTCCTGCAAGAAGAACACAAGATCTTATGTTAGGACCTTTACAGCACCGCAATCCAGTAGCTCCAACACTTTTCATGACGTCACGTTCCCTGTCATTTGCGTATGTAAGATTAAAATTGTTTATTTTAACATTGAAAACATAGCCTGGAGGAAGGAATTTCGACTCAAATAAAACAGATCAATTCGAATTAAAGTCAAAATATGACCAAACAAACTAAAAGGTCTAGAAAGTGTCCAAGTGCCACATGCTGGCAAAATACATTTTATTAGGGTGTTATTTAGGGTGTTATTTACGGTGAATCAAAAACCTACCCTTTACAACTGGCAAACAACATGTCCCTGCTACTTTCAAACGTAACGTCTGCGCAATCGCTGATGTCCTTTGTCTCTCCTTCTTTTCCAAACACCTCTTCCTTAATTTCCTCAACTCTGGCAGAACCCAGAGCTAAACCAACTGATACAATCGGTTTAAATCCGGAACTTGGCGAAGGAACCTTAACTTGCACTCTGTCTAAGACACTGTTGCTGTTTTTAAGGTTCAGATCTTTGGTGTTCGTCTTGTTATAATACCATCCAGGGACCTTAAGAAGATTTTTACTGAGACTGTTTATGCGTTTTCTATTTTGAATTGGTTTGTTAGGAGTAAACTTAGGTTTCCTGTTTATCGGTGGTTTCCTGTTTATAGGTTTCCTGTTTATAGGTTTCCTGTTTATAGGTTTCCTGTTTATAGGTTTCCTGTTTATAGGTGTCTTGTTTATAGGTTTCTGTTTATCGGTGTCCGTGTCTCGGAAACTTCTGATTTCTCAGGTCCAGGTTGTGTATTTTGTCTTTGGACGATAGCACAACACCGTACTAATCGAGGACAAGGTTTAATCTGACACTCTGTCTCCGTCACTTTTGTCATTACTTCGTTCTTTTGACATGAGTTAGATCTGTCAGCACATTGCCTCCACTCACATTTCCTCTTACAGCACTGAAACTTCTTTATAGAACCTGAAATAAAAACCAGTTGAATAACTATAGAGAAAAAGATTAGATTAAATTCAACGAGATGTTTAACTGTCAAAGTTTCCTGCAAAAACGAGATTTTTGATATCGAGTGTTGAATTATTAAGGCACAATACATAAAAATAAGCATAAAAAGGGTCTACCTTTTCTGTCAAATCCAACTGAGTTAACGGCTGAACCTGGTGGACATCGTTTCGGATCACCGTATGGGAAAGTCCGACATGTAAGGATTGGGCACGATCTGACTTGGCAGCACTGTACACTCTGGTCGTTGATTGATCTCAGAAGACCATTTTGACTGAGGTGAGTCCATATTTGATATTATCAGACAGAAATAAGTATGAGACAAGGTAGTATCTACCTCAATTAAAAATCATTCATATCATATTAAATAAACCAATGCTAAATTTAAGAATTCAGAAAGATTTCAACGGTTAAGTTAATTAAGGGGACAGGGGTCTTTATGAAATTTCTCTCGAAATTGATGTTATAGTTGTTTCTGATAAAGGAGAGTGATATCTATCAGCTGCTTTGAGTCCCATGGAAAAATGTTATCGCCGGTCAAAGGTCAGCGCTCATGTGTAATTGTATTGCACGAGCGATTTTCAATAGAGGCCCTGAAAAACCTGGAAAAATCGTTAAAAAACGAGGTCTAAGATTTTCTAAATCCTTTTTCTAAAGCCTATCTTAAAATTCTGATAGACCAGAATCTACTAAATGGTCCTTAGAACATATCCTTCGAAAGTTTCAAGGTGATTGCTCAAAAAATGCAATGTGGGAAAATATAGATTTTTAGACTCGATTTTCAGGGATTGAAAATTACACATGAGCGCTGATCTTTGACCGGCGATAACTTCGGCTAGGAACACTATTTTTCCATGGGACCAAAAGCAGCTGATAGATAAGACCCACCCCGCTGCCCCCTTAAAACATAATATAAAGAAAGATACTTTACCTCGAACATGTAGCCTGTTTAATAAAACTCCTTCTGTCTTTGGGGTCCAACTCAGCCACAACTTCAGCACAGTAATTAATTTTAGACTTCCTTTGAACTGTAGGTTTGGGTGCTGTGCCATTCATTGAAACAGAAATAAAGCCAAGCTTTCTCTGAGCTTTTCCGTGTCCTTATTCTTTAAGACACATCGTTTGAACTGTGGCACAGCAACAAATGCCACACATTCCTTGTTTTTCTTGCACGCACTGTAACACTGTGACATTACTTTCACACCCGGGACTCTAAATATGCCTCCACCTGGGTAATCGACATCTCTCTCCAATTGGTTCTCGTCAAGATTAACAAACGCGCTATTGTCATCATCTAATGGCTGGTTTGAATCTGATTGGGCACGATTAAAGCCATAAGAAATCCAATTTACGTGCTTAGTTGCACAACCATGTAATTTGTTTTTTAAAAAGCATTGTCGCATACTGGGAATAGAATCAACACGTATACAACCCGGTGTGTTTGTGCATTCTTGTACACATTTAGAAAAGGCAGGAGCATTTTCTACTTTCCTTATCAATCCTGCACGATAAGCAGTGTTCATTTCTATTTTGCTTTTATCTATGTCAATGAATGGAACCTTCGTTCCCTTTCCATCAGTTGCCTCACGGCTCTTCTTTTCTACAACAACAGACACCGTCCCTTGTCGTTTGATAGCTTTTCCGTGCATTTTATTTTTAAGATGACACCTTTTTGTCGCTACATATGCATCAACTCTAACACAATCAGCCTTCTGAGAGCAAACCTTAACACAATCTGACAGAACCTTCTGATTCTCCAGAGTAAGAATTAGACCACCATTGTACCAAGTGTTTTGTTCTGCTCTTTCGACATCCACAAATTTCTGACAAGACTTGTCTTTGTACTGTGTTTTCTTGTTATCCTTTTCCATCTCATCTCCTCCTCTGTCCTCTTTTTTCATCTCATCTTTTTCAATCTCATTTCCTTCTTTGTCAGCCTTTTCCACGCTAATGTCTAATGAAACGAAACCCTTTTTCTTTCCTGATTTTACTGACTCCTTGTTTCGAAAGAAACACCTTCTTGATTTCACCATAGCAACAACTCGAACACATTCCTTAGTCTCGAGGCAAACATTTTTACATTCGGATAGCAATGATGCCTTCCTTGATACTTGATATCAATCCACCAGAGTATATCGTGTCCATTTCAATTTCATCGAGACTGATATCTATAAAGTCATTGACAGGCTTATCTTTTTTAGAATTCGATTTTTCGTCAGGCTTTTTAGGTCGTACAACTACAGAAACGAAACCACTCTTTTTCGTTGATTTTCCATGACCATCGTCTCTTAGGATGCATCGGTTCGTTTTAACATTTGCTACAACCAAAATACAACGTTTAGATTTAGTGCATGCGTTTACACATTCAGATAGAGTTTCTGCATCATCAATTGTAGAGATAGTCCCATCGAAATAAGCCACATTTATTTGTAGTTTTTTTGGGTCGACATCGATGAACTTCATAATCGGTTTCTTAGGCTTTCTTTTTCTCACAATAACCGACACAAAGCCTCTCCGTTTAATTGCTTCCCCGTAGTGTTCGTTTTGTAAAAAGCACCGTTTTAATTTGACATTGGCGACAACAAGAATGCATGCAGGATTTCCGGAACAAGCTTTTTGGCATTCAGAAAGCACAGCAACGTTTTTCAGTGAAGACAAAAGTCCGCCTGAATATGTGACGTCTCTTTCCAAGCTATCCTCATTAAGGTCAATGAAGTCAGTTGTCACTTTTCCATCCTGTTTTTTGTTGTTAGAACAGTTTATTATGGCTGACATAGCTCCGTTTCTTGCGGCCCACGTCACCTTTGACACTGAAATGAAGATCAACAGTTCAAATGGGTGCTTTAATTCGTATCATTGATAAACGAAGATAAAAGTAAAAGAACTCAAGGTTACTGAGAAATTTAAAATGAGAATGTTAGTGCAATATTGGAAGTGTCATAAATCGACTCAGTATCATAAAAAATTGGTGTGCAGTGATGAAGCAATTGATAACTTTACTCACTGGGCAGATGAGCGTCCGTTCGAAGACACAAAGTTTCTTCTTCGGGATAAAAGTGTAAGCAGCACACTCATTTGTTCGCTCACATTCCTTGTGACAGGAAAACACTGACATCATGTCCTCCACTTCAGACAAAATACCTTTCGGATAGTCAGCATTTCTCTTGATGCACTCAACATCTTCCTCTGAAACAAAAATTTTCAAGATTATTTTCTCGTTTCAAGACTTATTAAAATGCCTGATGAAGCTCAACATTTAACAGCTGAATGTTTGCTGGATCAATAAACTGTACACAGTTTATTGATCCTGTGATTTCTGTAATATCAACATGATTTCTGAAAATGAATTTCATTAAAAAACAACAAACCTGTCTCTTCTTTATCGAGCTCACAATTAAGCTTTCCGAGTAGCAACCCTTCGGCACGCTCGTTCCTAACTCGAACAGATGCTGAGTAAAGATCACATTCTTGTGAAGCAACACGTATTAAATAAACGGTACATCCATCCGTTTGGATGCATGCCTTTCTACAATCTGACGCCTTGTCAATACCACTCAATCTCTTCAACGTCTTTCCAGAAACAGTCCTCTCCTCTTCTACACAGGGATCTGCAAATAAGAATGACTAACTTGCTTTTATATCAGTGTAACAAGGTAACATATTAAATTAACGTCAAGATTCGATTCATTAATTCGACTATTTTTTATGAAAAACATAACTTCAAATTAAATTGAAACGGTGTGAAACCTTTCTGGAGATCGTTTTTAAACTTGTTTTTTCCTCCTTTTTCTCTCTCATCCGTTTCCCTGTTATCTTCTTTCTCCCTTTCATCTTTTTCCCTATCATTTCTTTTCTTCTCATTCTCGTTTTCTTCATTTTCTAGACACTCAATACAGGCTGAATACGAATTCTGTTTCGTGACCCAGCCTTCAGTAGTACTGCTTTCATGATCACTATTTTTGAGAAGACACCGACGCTTTGAAGCTAAGATTATAAACCGAACACAGTCTTTCCTCTTCTTACATAAATCTCTGCACTCGATGATAGATGATACTTCGTCAAACTTAGCTATGATGCCTTGAGGATAGTCCACATTTGTTTCGATACAAGGACCAGTTAGATCAATTTCAAAATCCTTTATTTCTGATGGATCTGTTTTTTCAGACTTTTCAGCTTTTTCTTCGTCATTGGAAGACTTCTTCTTTTCAGAATCGGGCTTTCTGACAATGACTGACACGAAACCTTTCTGTTTCTTTGCTTTTCCATGCTTTTCATTTCGTAAAAAGCATCGCCTCAACTGAATGTTCGCTACAACAAGGACGCATGCACTATTTTCAGAGCAAGATTTTTGACACTTAGAAAGCAGAGGAACGTTTTTCAGTGTTGTCAGAAGCCCGCCGGGATATGACGTGGACAATTGAACGTCTTTCCCGTCCAAGTTGATAAATTTGCTGACTGATTTTTCTTTGGGTTCCTCATTGTCTTTCCGGTCAGGTTTAAGTTTTTCCTGACGGCCCATTCTTTTTTCTTGACGGCATGCCAACGACACAGATATTGCTTCCCGATTGGCTATGAGAGACTGGTGAGTTGCAGGTCCATGTTGTTTGTTTTTCAATATGCATGACTTTTCGTATGGCACCCAAACGATTCTTTTACAGTTTTTGGTGAATTTGCATATTAAGGCACACTTTACTGGCCCCTGCACCTCTTCTATACGTTTTATATCACCACCAGGGAAATCAATATTTCTTCTGAAGCAGGCACCAGACTCCCCAGCTTCCTCCCACTTCAAGGCAACTGATATGACATCTTTTTTGAATACACCATCTTCATGTTGATCACTCTTCAAAACACATTTATAATTTCTCATATTGACAATAATTCGGACACAATCGACGTTTTTCTTACAGAGCTCTAAACAACTGGACATTGTCTCAACTTTGTCAATGGTAGATATGGTGCCACCAGGGTAGTCCCTATTTCTTTCCATAATTGCTTCATCTACATCAAGGAAATCTCTATGGTCAAATTTATCACGACCGGGTTGACAATATGGAGAATCGATTGCGAATGATACTGATCCACTTGAAGCTGCTCTGGTTTTTTTGCTGACTGGCCCGTGCTTCTCATTCTTCAGGAGACATCGTTTCATTTTTGGAATAAAAACAAGCCTAACACATTGATCGTGATGCAGACACAAGTTACGACATTGCCATACACTTTTAACCCCAGGTAGGTTCCTTGTTGTGCCACCAGGATAATCGACACCACGCTCCAAGCACTCTTCGCTGATATCACCTTCATCCATGTCATCTGCTTCTTCGGGTACCGTCTTTTTACTTTTGTCTGCTTCTTTCTCTTTTCTATCTTTTCTACAATCCATTGAAACAGAAAGCAGCCCTTTTCTCCTCACTGGTGACCCATGGGAGTCAGATTTTAGCAAGCACATGCCAGATTTCGGATCTACATCAATTCTTACGCAGTCAGGCTCCTCAGAGCACAATTCCTTGCATTCAGAAAGGGACGTGACATCTTCTTTCTTTTCCATAATTCCACCTGGATAACGCAAATCCTCTTCTACGCACATTCCTTTAATGTCAATATCAAACTTATATTCACTTTCGTCTTCTATTTCCTCTTCTATTTTGTCTTCAACATCATCTTTTCTCTTTGGCTTTTTATGATTTCGACATTCCATTGAAACAGCGATAGACCCTTGTCGTGCAAATCGTGTGCTGTCGGTAGCCTCTTGGTGGTCACTATTTTTGAAGATACAAAGCTTAGACTTTGGCAAAGCTATGACAAGTGTGCAACCTTCTTCCTCTGAACACATCTTTACGCATTCAGAAAGAGAAGATGCACTCATTTTCTTAATAAAACCGCCTGGGTAATCCAAATCCTTTTGAACGCAGTGTGACTTCCCTTTAGATCTTCATTAAACTCCTCTGGAGATTCAATGGGAGGTTCTTCAAGAGATTCCTGGGCACAGGCCATTGAAACAGACAGCGAACCTGATATAGCATTTTCACTCCACTTGGTTCTTTTTTCCCAACCTTTCCTCTTAAGTGTACAGGTCAAATCCTTTTTCAAGTACACAACTCTTAAACAGCGTGGCGTGTCGAAGCATGCTTCAATACAGTGAACCAAGCTCAATTTCCGACTTGTTCTTAAATCTCCGCCAGGATAGTCAATCTTTGTTTCTATGCAGTTTTCTGAAATTGAGAGTGAATCAAAAATTAAATAATCTTCGCATAATATTAATTTGAAAAGAAAACATCTGGGAGATTAATTGTTAATTAAAAACTGCTGAGTAAAAGTTTTATCTTAAAAGTGGTGTTTTAAAACTTGTTTGTATTATCAATACATCAGAAATAACTTACCGTCAAATCCATCGACAGCATCCTCTCTATCACGATCACGACAATTAACTAGACCAGCTATACCACCCTTCACAGCGGTACTGGTTTCATAAGAAATATCTTGGTGAGTGTCGTCTTTAAGAGTACAAGTCCTGGAAACAGGAGACAAAACAAACGCTATACACCCTTTTGTGTCAGTGCACAGTCGACTGCAGTCTTTTACTGAGCTTAGATCCAGAGTCATGCTAATAAAACCACCAGGGTAATCGGCGTATTTTGATATGCAGTCACCTGAAACAATTCTATTTCAGGCCGACCGGATGAAGTAATCCAAGTTTGATATATATAATATGCGTTTTAAAATATTCAACATCTCAAATACATGTAGAAAGCATAATTGGAATCTAATATTTTATATCATATTGTTACAGAAAATATTCTCCAGACAAGGAGTATTTTGATAGTTACAGAAATATGATTCAGTAATCCTACCTTCTATCTTATCTGTAAGATAGCAGCAGTTATCAAACATTTTTCCACTTGCTTCAGCAATACCTCCCATAATTTGGGCTTTACTGCAAGACTCTGACAACTCACAATATGCTCGTTCAGCGTCAATCTCACAACAAACCATTTCCTTGACCACTCCATCTGAAATAACAACAATTTCATTTTACTTATTATATATAATGTAAAAAAGTGATGTTGCGTTCTCGGTCCTAATTTTACCTGCGAACAGAGTTTTGTGGTCTCGCCACACGCAAAGGTGCCTTAACTAAAGAAGACATAACATGGCCTAATGAGTAATGAGTGATGAGTAATGAGTGACTGCGAAATTAAGTTTTGCCAATCTGCAAAGAGCATATTATTTGATTTCTTAATCATAACCTTCGTTCATCCGGAGACCCGTCATAATCCCTCCATAAGGACATTCCTTTTGTATGGGTTGAATTCTACAGAAACTGGTCTTGTACCTAGTCTTGCAGCACTGTAGTCCTTGTTCAGTGTACGCTCTTAACATGTTGTACTTTCTGAGGACGAGAATTTATTACGGATCTAAAAAGTACAACGAAGATAAAATTATGTTTGGTAATAAACGGTTTATAATGTGTTGTCTTCTCAGAATAATGCAGACTATTTGCTGAAGATGTTAAAAAGCAGAGGACTTTAAATTCTCACCCAATACATTCGATTTCGTCATCTCCGTCTCCTTGTTTTAAATCTACAATGGAAAAGATAACACATCCCTCATCATCCTCACTTTTAATATCCGTTTTGGAGTAATCATCGATAATGTCATCTATCTTATCCGTTATCCTTGATATTACATCCTTCTTCCGGGATATCTGCGGGGAATGTGTAATTGCTCAAGCAGAGAATTAAACATGATTCTAGATGAACAAATTAATTTTTTTAAAGCAGATAACTTAAATACTTGCAGCTCCAAATGGGATTTATATATACCTCCTCAAAGAGATAATGTGGTTTTTAAGAAACTGAGATCAAATTTAATTTAGAAAACAATCATTTAGTTTCTATAAATTCTCCTGGGTTTTACCTGACAACATTTTACAGCAATCTTGCAGTCCTTCACCCCACAGATAGTCTTGACACCAGTGAAAGCTTTGTCATCAGGGCAAGATAGAGTTTTACCGTCGTACCAGATACACTCGTCTACAACGCTACGTTTGTTGAAATCACAGCATTGCCCAGAGTAGAAGTTCTCTGTAACAATAGTGCACATTGTCAAGCATTTTATAGACTTTAATCTACATAGTCAAACGAATGCATTAGAAAATTTGAGCCAGAATTTGTCTTGTTTTAACTTTGGGTATTAAAAATATAATCATTTTTCAGATTTCAACTAAACTCGTTTCACACAACAAGTCAAATTATGTTCTAATTAAATATGGCACTTACTTCCAATGAGCCCAACAGAAGATAGGACCTTTCCCTCCGAACATTCCAACGTCAACTTTTCAGCTTTGATAGTTGAACAGCCGGAGAAAGATTTTGGTGCCTTACAGCAAACATACCGGATATCTCCGGACATTATTTCCAGTCCGTTTATAAAGTTGTTTTCAACATTGTTCCTGGTGATTGCAATCATTATATATCAGTTTACAGTGCGGTCAAATTTAATGAAACATGTTAATCGGTTGTTTATCTATAGTATGTATCAGAACGAGTACATGTCACAGAAAGTTTTGACTGTAAGCACACATGTAACACAACATCAAGAAAATGTGGTGATGAAAAATAGAAACCTTCTGCAACTAGCGTAGTGCAGCCTCTTTGAACCGTAGAACACAGCATTAAGAACTTTACAATCTTCACCAACGGGAAGGACCGTTTCCGTATACTCCTCAGACATTTCCTTGTCCTTTAAATATTTGTCCATGTTAAAAAAATATATAGTTTAAATGGTTATATAGTTTAAATGGTTACGTAATATGAATATCATATTATGGCCCGGTACCAATATTGTGGGATGAATATGCTCACTTCCAGCGCGTTATTATAACAAAAAATGCTTGAATAGACATTCAACAAACGACTTAAATACAAATACGCTACTAACCTTTTTGCAGCAAGTAGCAGAATAGGGACATGGTGGATCCTCACAAGTGTTAGACAAGTCGGTAACAAACTCTCCAATAGGGCACCCAATATGTCGGCTATTTGGTGCGATCTTGTTAGTATAGCAGTCTTTGAAGGCTATGTTCACTTCTGCACAATCAAGTTGCTTTATAGTGTTGCTAGCCTGAAATAACCTGAGTTATAAACATGTGCCTTAAATTCTTAAACACCGAAATTATCAGCAGAGGAAAAATGGCAGATCAGCAGACTTTAAACATTCACCTTGCAAGACAATATAAAATATCCTTACAGACTTACATCAAAGTGAAGACCAGTAAGAACCTGGTTAGGCTCACAACCTTCACCAGCATCTCTCATCTGGTACCCAAGGGTCTGTCCTCTCTTCTCACAACATACACCCACCTTACCGTCCACTTGTATGTAACCTCCTTGTAGCATAACTATCTTACTGTCTGATCTGAGTGGTAAGTAATGGTAAGTAATGGTAAGTAATGGTAAGTAATGGTAAGTAATGGTAAGTAATGGTAAGTAATGGTAAGTAATGGTAAGAAATGGTAAGTAATGGTAAGTAATGGTAAGTAATGGTAAGTGTGGCACTATCTCGGGAAATTTTAAGTTTGGGTTAGACGTCTTAGAGGGTCGTTACTTTACAAAATAAATCTAATTACCCATCAACGCCCCCGCCCAGTTTTGTTTTTGAATAATTAAAAGCTATAAAACAAGGATATTCAGTATCCACCACGTTATGAGGTTATGCACCTCATCAACACTGTGTAGCAAATCATGGCAGACACTGCCATCAACATCCCTGCCATCACTGTCATTAACATCCTTTTAGCAGAAAACAAGTTGAAAGAGTTTTTGATTGAAATTCAACACTACTATATAACAAAAAATTTGAGGCTCTAATGATGTTGTTTTACGAAGATTTCAAGCCTTACGTTGTGTGTTTCCCTTCGTGTCCAAAAGCATTATATTATTGAAATTTAAATAACTAATTAGTTATATTTAGCTAAGCACCTTGGACAGACAATGTTTGAGGTTCCTTTTCGCCCACTCTGTTGTTGGGTTATAATGCAGTCGTTGGGTACGACCATTGTTCCTCCGTGTCCGTTTATATTATCCGTGTTGCAACATGTCATTTCAGCCTGCAAGTCAGATCCAAATTAATTAGTAACTTACTTATTACTTTTATCTATTTAATACTAGAGTTGCGGAATGGACCTCGGTAAATTGTACGTGTGCAATAAAGTAACCTAAAGTAAGCAGTGAGCACGTGATGTCATCTACTCTATATATAATATAAAGCATGGTCTGGATTTGAAATACCCAGCTCAAAATCAAAAGTTTTGCGGGAATATTGATCAGCTATCAGGTAGTTTTACTGTGCTTGAAACCGTGTAACTGTAGCTCATTAATTAATTAATTATTCATTAATAAGATAATTACCTTACAGCCCGCTTTACAAGTAACCCTCAATCTCTTCATAACAGTGTTAGCATTACACCTCATTGGTTGTATTGCTCTGTCCGTGTTCGGGAAACACTTCCCTAGCTTGTGGTCCCTGAGATGGAGGAGTAGTAAGATGTGTTAGTGATTGGAGATTTTGAACATTCTGTTTTTTTTTCTTTTTTAAAGAGAGGCTGGGACTGGGTGGCCCACGAGAGGATAGCATGTGGATGCTTTGCTTACCTCTGGGGTAACATTCTGTTACTCTCAGTCCTTCTCCTAGATAGTTCGAGATTGCTGGTGGACAACTCACAATCTTTCGAAATTAATTTATTGATTATACACACCAAATATCATTATTCATTATATTTAGCTCTTAGATTCAGAGCCGTACGCGGAATATCACAAATCTCAGAATTATGCATTTCACGTGATGCAAATTATCGTATGTTGAAAGTTGATTATTTCTTCTAGCTCAGCTGCTTTTTTGAACGAAATTATGTGCCGGAAATAATGGAGGAATAAAATAAATTGTATTCCTCCTTTATTTTCGGTGTATAACTTCGCTAAATATTTAACTTTCAACATAATATATTATGCAGCTAATAAACGATCGCTCAAATAATTCCACTTCGTTACCTACAAATAATCGTATGATATGCTTTATTGTCACTACCAAAATAATTTCGTTATAAAACCATATCCAGAATGGTCGAAGTACCTGACAGTTAAGAAAGTGAATGTCACGCCTAAGGGCTTCCCTTTCTTAGTTTATAAAGTTGGTGACAGGGCGAAAATGCAAAATTAACAAGCTGGAACAGCGATGAAACAATATTTTATACTGTTTCGCAGTCTAGTAAAATGTTGCATTTTGTTTCAAAGTTAACGTGAGTCTTGCTTGTTTTTGTCTAGCAGCCGAATATTTTCACAAAAATTCAATATTGAATCAGTAAGAGTGACCTGAAATTTACGGCACTTGCGTAGTTATCACTGTATCAGTTCTCGATCAGGATTCTATTGATATTCTTTGAGTCAGCTAGCCGCCAACCTCTTATTTACACGTGAGGAACATGGCAAAGCTCTTCAATTACAACATGGGACCGTGGGACGACCAGTAATTGATCAATTACAGGATGAGATGGGCGGTAAATCAACTCCGCTGTGCTTAATTGCGCATAGAACGAATCTTTATAGATTACTGTCCTGTAACTCAATGAGCCGATCCTTTCCTCTGCCTTCCTCTGCGTCACCCAATGTTTCAGAATTACTATGCGGCACTTAAATGTACCTGTAATTCTTTTCTCATCTGTGCAATGAGAATATTCTGTTTTATTTAGACAATTGCTGATCCACCATTACATCTGGTCATCTGCTCCAAAATCTGGCGGCCCTAATTTTTTCTAAGACTGTTATTACCGGCAGCTGTAAATCTTTATGTCGTAGCAGTAGTTTAGCAGGTTAAGTATCTACTTTCAACGATGCTCGCCGATTATTGTCTTTTTGTCGTCAAAAGAGCCCATCTGGTGTACCATAAGTTTACAATAATTGTTCCAGGATCAAACTAAGAATTTGTTATTTTGTGGTATCTTATTGTTCTGAAACATTTCCTGATTATGTATCAGATTTCAAATTTTAGATGAAGTCCCTTTTTGTCCCTGCACAAAAAAGCATCTGGCACCCATAATTTTACAATTATTTCAGGGTCAAGCTAATAAATTATTATTTTGTGGTCACTTGTATCTAAAATTTCCTGATTTCTATCTTATGTACATCAGATTCTTCACGGTGCAATAAAATTGTTATTGTTAAAACTGTTTCATATAGTCTCTCCCATTTGCATTTAAAAGTATTAAAAACAAACTAAATTATCTGCCAAACACCCACCTCTCACAACACCTAACGTGTCTCTGTTGATTGTTGATAAAAGTCAGGCCAGTAACCACACCGTTCACACAGTTATCTCCAGACCTCTTAACCGTTTGAACCTCACAGCGGTGGGAGACGGTCACGTCCTCGCAACACTCACCCACCAACGTGTCATCTATTGTCTGGATTCCACGGAGCAGGTTCTTACTGAGGGTGGGGTTTGTAAAATGAGTATAAACTAGAGAACTAGTGATATTCCTATATTATATTCCTATTTTATTGAACAGTATCTATATATAACTTATAAGGCTGATAATAAGGCGTTTGATTAATGGAGCTAGGGTGGTTACCTTCACGCTAGAATGAGACACACTAAGTAGACGTTAAGGCTAATTTGATATAATCAGCAAATAACAGGTTTGTGACGTTTTTTTCATGCCCGAACAGTCATGATAAACTTTGCAGGTGTTGAGTAGACTTAAGAATGAGGTTTTGCGCACGCAGTGATACAGTTTTAACATACAGAGAATTTTGTTTGAGTCGTGTTTGATCTCTGAGTGTCCGCACTTTGCTTAGTTGTGAGTATTCTTTTGATTTATTTGCCAATTTATCTAATCTCAACATATATCTCAATTATTTGAGTAAAACGTTTCCTGCATATTTGTTTAAGTTCCAGCAAGTACAGGTAGGGAATATTCTTTTGGCGGGTATCAAACTTACTCTGGGCACTCAATTATAGGACCACGAATCCAAACACAACCCTCTTCTGGCTCAGGAGATTGGGTAGGAAGAAGGGAGGGGTTGTAACAAATGGGCTCTCGGCTATCATAGCTTACCAGTGTCTGAAATATCATGGTCAGACTTTCCTCTGGGGTTCTCAATCCACAGTCAACTTACGGTAATAAGGATTTAATTAGTTAAATTATAGAATCACTTTACCTGACGTCCGGTGCCACCACATTTCTCGATCCCGACAACTGTTACGTCAACGTTGCCTTTCTTGACTCTCAGATAGGATAGACATCCTGTGCCGAAGGAATTCTTCACCAATATTCTATTTCCCGAACATTGAAACCTTGATTGGAGATTGATTAATCTTTGTTATTTTGTTCTTTGTTCTGGTAAAATTTGTTCGTATGAAAATATAAGATTAAAATGATTTAATATCGGTGTGATTATTAGATTTCCTTCGTTTCGTTTTGAAAAAGCTTACTCTGAATTGGTGGTCGAGCAAGTCGAATATTGGAAGTTCTTGTGATCGAACTTGTCGACATCAGTCGACTCTGGATGGTAATCCAAGCAAAGTTCATTTGACAGTTTATAAAGTTTCCCATTTTCAGTCCAGATCCACTGTTGCTCTTGATCTGCAAAACACGTTCATTAATTAAAGGACTGTTTTCAAGCCTTCTCAAATGGAACATACTGACAAAAAATATGAAATATTTGTGAACAAGGCTAATAAAATAATTGCAGGCTAATAAGGCTAATAAAATAATTGCAGGCTAATAAGGCTGATAAAATAATCGCAGCTTCATGTCATTGTGTTAAAGGAAGTAAGAATGTTGACAGCATTCAGATGCTCAGTATTGGTGGTTATACTAGTGCAGTGTACTGTAGCTATAGCAGATCGGAATGACCTCGGTAAAAGTAAGTACACTCCTTTTAAACAGTCCTTTTAAAACAAACCAACAATTTGAGTAAAGTTATAACACGTGACATGTCAGATTTAATGTGAGAAATTCTATAAACCCATCTCCACAGAGCCTGATCATCTCGATTACACGGTATTTAAGCAGTCATTTAACCTGCACGCCAACAAAGATGGGATCGACACCGTATCTCATCTCGAGGTTAAATGTGCTCGTGGGCACAATGACCGCATCATTGACTGTAGAGTACGCCGCCCAGACTCAACCAGTGTGGTTCTAGATAGCGTTATTACTGGGATTAATGTGGAGACAAAGAAATGTGTTGTGAATCTTTGTCAAAGTGAAGATAACTGTGATCCTATCACACCTGATAAGAACCTTATCGCTTTTACTCTTGAGGTTCGTTATCTTCTTCTGATTATTTTGTTGGATTATGTTGCTTTAGTTTAAGTCAAGGGGTTTTAGAAATCAGTTTTGTGGAAAGATTGTGTCCAAGTTTATGCTGTAAGAATGCTGCATGAATCTACTCATATATTTTCAGGTGCAGTTAGTTTGCTGCATGAATCTACTCATATTTTTTCAGGTGCAGTTAGTTTGCGTGCACGAGCATTTGGTGATCAGAAATGACATCCTAAAATCTATAGCAGGCTCTCAGCAAGTGAACTGTGCAGATCAAGGTTCTAACACCAAAGCCTGCTCCTGCTTTCTGAACAGAAAGAGCTCCAGCGAACAGTATGCACATAACCCGGGGCCCAGCTTGTATCAGGATTACGTTAATACTCACAGCAAGTGGAATGATTTCAGTTTCATTAAGCAGGAGAATGGTTGTCTTTTATCGGTCAATGGTGAGGACGATGAGAAGTTCGAGATAACAGCGATGTGCGGAGAAGAGTAAGTTTTATCTTATATTCTTATCTGTACACTGTGGCTATCTGTTATTTGAGGTTATTATAGATATATATCCTAGAGGTTGCGAGTTCGATCCCCGTCAGGAAAAGGAACGACCGATCACCATGCCAAACCATGATGTTGCTTAGCACAAAATGGTACACGGCCTAGGCCTTGGAAACAAATTAATTGTTGGTAGCTGTGATGGGCTCCTCGTGCAGAAATGCATGAATATCTTCCTCCTTGCTGACACTTGTGTGAGCTTGGAGAAGCATCATGAGCGGGCGTTGCCAAGTAACTGGCTATCCCGTGAATGGAAGCTTGGATATAAAGGTTATTATAGTAGTAAGTAGTAACAGTGAGTTAACACTTTGTAGAATGATTCTTCAGAAAAATAGAGGGGTTAGCAAAGGTAGACAATGGTTGAGTCACACCTAGAAGATCGGACAAATGGGAGTTTCAATAAGCATTTGTTGCTGTTGGATCACAGGTGAACGGTAGTTGAGAGCTTTGTTGGGGCTAGATCACGAGGGCTTTAAGCAGGTCGCATATTGTTACAAGGTCTGACGATTTCGGGTGAAGATGGCCTACAGGATTGAGGAGTCGTAGATAGAACCACGAACTGGACACTATATAAAGTCCGGTGAACAGATCATAAGACTCAACAATTTAAATGAACTATTGATCTTAAATCCGTGCACACTTCCTTGTGTATTTTTACAATTCGTTTCTGCAATCATGCACTGATCCGACAGGCGACAGCCGACAGGCGACAGCCGACAGGCGACAGCCGACAGGCGACAGCCGACAGGCGACAGCCGACAGGGCATCTTAATTCTTTGCATCTTGCAACCGCTGATAATTATTAATTTCAACAATGAACAATTCCTAAATATGTAAATATGATTATGACAGGAAATGGTGTCAATACATAAACGAAGCCTATCAGAGCTCAGAAGATGACGCTGAAGATTATCAGATGGGTAAGGATCTATAAAACAATATTCTGATCTAAGTTACGTAAAATGTCCGTTAACTAAAAAACTATTTTAATTTTCAATATAATATGTATCGAATACCTAGCACCTACAATCAAGGTTCGACCGATCCCGGTTCCGGTCAAAAATCGGCTACAATAACTACATAATATTGAATAATTGAAACAACATTTCAGTCATTACCGTTCCTGAAATAGAGTTCGGCCAGGCGGGAAGAATACAAATTACAGTTACCTCAACTGAAGCAGTAACAGATGATGATCGAGACAGATATATGATTTCTTGGACCGACTACGAAGATCGCTCAGTTGATTCAAGGAATGATTATCAGATTATACATACACCGAATGCGGGATTGACGGATAATGAAATTCTTGTACATGAACTGACTATTTCTGAGGCTATCATTAAAACGGTTATTATAAACTTAAACTTTCCTATGTTATGACACATGTTATTTTTTTTCCAGTACTAACGAAATAAATTTTGAATTTGAAACTGGAAGTGCATTTTTTCTTCAAAATAATTTTGAAGCCACTAAAGTTTTACAAACTACTTCAGGTGGCCAAGAGAAACCAGAAAAATAGGGAGTTTTCTGCTCAACTTTGGCGCGATAACAAGAAAGTCGGAATTGCCAGAAACATTGATCTCAGGATATTCCGTAAGTTAAACCGACCAAGTTCGTGATAAAATCTCTGCTACTATTGCTATTTTCTTTCAAAGTCTAAATCACCCAGTACAGCTAAGCAATTATAGCAAACCGAAATTATCAAACCGGCCCACGATAAACTGAGGAATCCATGAAATTTCAGGAATGTATACGCCTGGGAGCGTGCAGATAGCAGCAGGGAAATCCTATAACCCTTATTGCCATATCTACTCATCTTATGACTCTCCTGATCTGTGCTCTCGTATGACTTGGCCAGGTGACATTTCTTTCAGTGTTTATTCTCACAGTCACAAATAGAATGTGCCCGAGATGTGCCCCAGGTGTGCCCGAGTTTGTGCCCGAGGTGTGCCCGAGGTGTGCCCCAGATGTGCATCGGCAGATTACCGAGTTACCGAATATTCTCTGATCTCTGATATACTCCTGGCTTGACTAGACGTTATTGAAGTTACGATATTGAATTCGATGAAAGTTTCATTGCACGTGGATAATTTAGCGAATTTCAGACGGAAACGGAGGCGACTTAATGGCTAAATGTAGCACAGAAACAGTAACAAGACCTGATGAAGATGAGGAAGAAGATGAGGAAGATGAAGAGGAAGACAATGTCCCATCTTCACTCAGCAACAGATTTAACCCTTCTTACAAAACCGAGAGTGATATTCAACACGATAGTATTGGAGGTGTTGTAGGCTGGACTACGTATACTTGTAGCTTTCATAGTGACGACAATAAAGCAACTGTTCTTGCATCTCAGGATGTAGTAGTCTATCACTATGATCCAAATGAAGGTTCGCACTACGAGTTAGGAATTTAATTTATAAAAATGCAACTAGCCTTTTAGTTTTAGGAGTATTACAGTCCCATGGCCTTTCTGGCCAGCTCATTTCACTGCTCAATGGGTTATGACTACTGTAGCTCATGTAGCCGTTACATGTACTATAACCCATTATACTATAACAAAGCTATGCAATATAATATTATGACAACATTCTCCCTCCATCAGGTATGAACACGTGTGGATGTTGGTGTAACACAACCGCTACAGACTCAACCAAATCTCCTGGTTGTGCTCAATCAAAAGACATAGCTTCAGAGTGTCCGGTCACGTGGCAAATCATGTCTCAGAACCTTCAGTTGAGATTCCTGGTGCAAGATCCTGACTGGGTTGATAGGATACATCTGTTCGACCAATTAATGAAGCCAATAGGTTACATTTCTATAAGATGGGACAACAAGAAAATGATTTCAATTAGCAGCACGTTTTTCCCTGCCAAGAAGGAAAGGTATCGTAAAGTTTTGAGGTCATCCTCAGCTTCAGGAGCAGAGGAGAAGAATGAACTCCAAAATATACTCCTGAACTTTGATGGAAATGGTGATATTGTGCTTTGGGCGTTGTGGGGTGATGTGAGACCAAAACTGTACACTATGTCCTTACATGATAGTGTCCATGGTGATCAGATCAAAATGTCTTTTGGGAAGACATTGAGAAGGCACAACGTCAGATTTAATCGACCAAGTAAGTCGACCCTTAAATGATATAACAAGAGCGTGAGGGAATTATTGACACTGTCATGGAATTATTGATAAGAATTTAAAATTTAAAAGCAGAAAGCGATTATACAACTAACTGCTGACCCTTTCTACAGATCGATGTAAAAAGAACTACTACATGGGAATGTATGGCACGTGTCACAGATGTGGAGAACTTGGATGGTACTCAGACGGACAAACCACTATTTGTTCCGCATGTCCAGAAGAGGATCCTTACTGCTATATAGGTAAATATCATCTTCAGATGCACTATCATCTTAACATTAATCCTCTAAAACATTCAGTCGTCCATTCAGTAATCACCGTACATGTACACCAATTCTTATTGTGAGCATATTTGGAGCATTACTTGAATAGTATTATACACATGAATTTAATCTTCACTTGGACTTTTATGATTACATCATCTTTACTTAGTGAGAAAGTTATTCATAAATTGATTGATTAGTTGCTTAATTGCGCACATTTTATGGGAAAAGGGCATGATGATAAACGATAAACCTCGATATATATTTATATGTTATTCTCACAGTAAAGTGATATGAACAATTAAAGGTAAACTGTAAAGGTAATGTGTAGTTATATTGAGCTCAGGGTCAGTAAGGTAAGTACTGTAAGTACTGTAAGTACTTGTAGTGTCTAGATAACATATTACCAGGCAGATTATACTTAACTACTTAACCAAGATATCAAGTTTACCAGATCCCACGGACGCAGATCAGATTGAGAATGTTGTCACTTTATTAATTTGTTTGTCACTGAAAGCAAAATAAATTGAACAATCCTACATGTCAAGGTAAACCAAGGTTTAACGCACCGTTGATGTCACATTCGACAAAGATTGGTAGAATTTCGCCGCTTTTTTCTGTGATCATCCTCATGCAGAGATCTGCTTGCTCTGAATAAATCATCTGACTTTCGTACTCTGATCTCTCTGGAATAGTCACAAGTCAGATCACGTGACTAAATTAATAAATTATAATATAATGTTACAACTACTATCTACTAGTTACAATACTTTTCAACCTTTGTTCAATGACGATATAACTATGCAGTTTTTGAGTGACTAATCAAGCCCAAAGTCAAATGGTGCAGGTTTAATGTGTATCTTAAAACTCAGATTTACCCGATTTGTCGTTTGAACAAGGTTTCCTCTTGCATATCTTAGTTTGCTGCTTCTGTGGACATTCCTCGGTGAAACCCTCCTTCACATACCGTGTTCGAATATGAATACCTGTTTTATCTGTTTTTAGAAGTGGGTTTCTAGTATATCCCAATACACATATTTTCAAACTTTCACTAGATGTATTTTTAATGCGTTTCATTTTTTAATGCGTTTCATTTTTTAATGAACACAATATAATATATTAATCATTAATACACCCTACAGTAAATATCTTATCTAAGAACCTAAGAAATAAAAACAAGGAGCAAAAAAAACACGTACCAGTACCACACTCCACATCACAAGCAGTCCATGGTGACCACTGAGACATCTTACATTTCTTGTGCTCATCAATAATAGCACAGGACTTCTTGTTACAATACCGCTCGTCCTCAAGAGTGGGACAGGGAGCGTCATCAGTACGCTGGGTGATGGAACGGGACCGGAGCTGGAGTCCCTCGCCACAGGTTACCGAGCATTCTGACCAAGCCGTCCAGTTTGATACCTCGCATATTCCTGATAGAGATGATACATTTTATTAACTTGTTAGGCAACTAGGAAGTAGGCACCAGAGGTTAGGATCATTAAAGCCGGTAAGCAAAGAGGTTGTGTTGATTTTGAAATGACTGATTTTATCAAACTTAGCTTAAAGTCTACTAATCGTTATCTACAAACCTGTCTGGTCTTTACAAGTGATATGCTCGTTACACCCGAACCTCTCTTCAGCTAAGTGTCTGCACTGTCTCCCACCTCCGCTGGGAGACATGACCATCTCTCGGAACCTCTGCTGTGTTCCTCCTACACCGCATGATACTGTACATACCGTCCATACCGACCAGTTACTTAGCTCACAGTCTATTTCTGTAACACAGATAACTCATTGTTATTGTTTTAATTGCTATTTCATTGTTATGTTCGAAGGTATTCAATTAATCGGCATCAGATCTTTATTTGAGATTTTCCTATTCGAAGGTGATTTAAAACGCACCGTGTAAGCACTGTTACAAGAATTTGTGATCTAGAAGATCGAATTCACCCACATTAATTTATTATATAATATGTGATAAATTGATAGCTTCAAATCTAACAAATCACATACCCTCAGTAGTTTCAAAGCTCTTATCCTTGGTGGGTTTTTTAGGGCACACTTCCTGAACAAAACATGGCTGAATCTCAGTGAGAGAAGGACAAATATCAATATCATCTGCATGTCTAATGTACCGGTATCTGCTTCTAGATCCTTCGCCACAAACTTTAGAGCAGCCTGACCACTCTGTCCATTTTGTTAAGCCACAGGATCCTGACATGATAGTTAATTAGGAGGGCAATTAATTAATCAATTAGTAATTAGGAGGGAAATTCCAAATCATCAGATTCATAGAATGTTTTTTACAGACAATTTTGGACATTCAAATATCTTTTTACAAAACCTTGACTAACCATAACAGAAGCCTGCATCGCAAGGTTTATTCTCCTCCAAGTTTCCACACGGCTGACCACCATTTTTAGGTTTCCTAACAATCACCCTAAATCGGTGCATGATTCCACTGCCACAAGTCTTACTGCACGCTGACCAGGGAGCCCAAGTTGTCACTTCACAATCCACTACATCAGGCTCTTCATGATCTGCTGCGTCACATGATTGAGTGTTACAAGCTCTAGAATCTTCGGTGACAGGGCACTTTGCGATGGGGTCGGTCGGACGACGGAGTATTGTTCTGAACCTGATTTGAATGGAATGTCAATAACCAGCATAGTTATTAATTTGCCTTGTTTTAATGCCATTATCAAGGTTCCGAACCTGATGATCATAACATATCCGTCATTCTTGATATATTGCTCACCTGTAAGAAGTACCTCCATCACATTCTGACGAACAAGCAGACCACTCAGTCCACTCGGACAGATCACATGTTCTAGGATCCGGACATTCCTGCACCTGACATTCCTTTATCTCGTACAGATCCTGACATTCCTCTCCTCCGTTGGCAGGAGATGTAGCGATCTGTCTTAGTCTCCGTGTACTGCCTGTACCACAATCTTTGGAGCATTTCTCCCAGGTCGTCCACTCTCCAACTTCACAGTCAACTAGTAAAGGTAGTTTTACAGAGGGACTATTAGTTGTTGTCGTGTAAGTTTTAACTATCTATTCAATTTTAAGATACTAAATTGAGGATATTTTGTTCAAAAATAAAGCTTACTTATTTTGTTATCAAGAAAAAAACATCCATAATTAAAACGACAAAGTTAAAGTTACACTAATTTGTTGACTATTTCAGGTTGATACTTTCAATGAAACGTTACCTTTGCATGGTCTGTTATAACAAGGTCTACTCTGATAAATGTAATCCTGGGAATCATAACATTCCACTCCGCTGGAATCCCTCTCTTTTTCAGCATCCCTGGTCCTGTGCTCCTCGCCTTCTCCACATTCTCTGGAACATATTGTCCACTGCCCCCACTCACTGTAGCATTCCTTCTCATCACCTGATCAGTAGTGAGTTAATGATTGTAAGATTATTGCCTCTGAAATGTTTCAGGATCAGGACAGTGTATGCTCGCTTAAAAGCTTTAAGTTAGATATAACTCTGGATTTAATAATTGGTATTTATTCAATATTATGAATTTGTTTATCTCACCAGGGCAAGGAATGTTCCCACATTCCTCTGGATCCTTCTCTGTTCCACACTCATCCTTTCCCTGATCACCTGTGTAAATCTTCATTCTAGTTCGGACGTTTTTAACATCCCCTTCCTTGATACAATATCCTGGGCAAGGGCTCCAAGTACTCCACTCCCATTGTCCACATGGACCAGTTCTATCGGAGATTTCTGCTGAAGAAGATTCCGAGGCTTCATCATCTTGTTCTTCATCCTGTTCTCCGTCTTGAAATAATGGAACAGCGTTACATTCTGTGAGATACGATTGAATATTTCATCAGCATCACAAACTCAAATTCCGACTGATCAAATTATTACTAATTTTTGTTGTCGAGTTGCTTAAAACATTTCAGCTACCTCGGTCACCGGCCCCTGCTAAAGCACTACATTGATAAAGCTTGTTGGCGATTGCAATGGCTTCAGTGTGAGGTATGAGATTTAGTGAGTCAGGTGATATGACCCCTACCATAAGGGGATCTTTGCTTGCAAAATGAAGAATTGTACTTCGGTGATCCTGCTTCAGTGAATCTTCCTCGACAGTCTGTCGGTGTGAGTTGTGAGTTGTGAGTATGAGTACGATTAAAGATTTAATATTTCATATTGTGTTATTTCATCATGAAACAAATAGTCGAGATGAGGATGGAAAAGTTCAATGAGTCGTTACAAAACACAAATGGTAATCCAGAAAGGATTAAAAATTAAGCTTACTATACAGCCCTACTATACCTCTATTTCGTTGGGAGAAGGACTGAACAAGCCCATAGCATGCCCCAGCTCATAAGTTATAATCTCCCCTGTCATACATTTCTTATTGAAAAGTAAAAGTTGTCGACCAGTTTGCTTTCCAACGTACGACCAGCAGCTGTGATACGAATTCATCAGGAAAAAATCTTCTTAACTCAATCTTACTATATATAAAGCGAGACGATATTTTTTTTAATACTTTCAACACTACTATATAACAAATAATTTGAGATAACGATGTTTAATAAAATGATGCAAAGACTTATTTCGAAGATCTAATCAACACCGACTTTTAATGTGTAGGAGTACAGCTACAAAATATATATATATTTATCTGTGCCATTTTACTGACACCACGGCATCAACTTTAACGCGAATTTCTGCAAAAACCGTAAAAGATATACAACTGAAATTTGTTTGACTGGGTCAAATGCTTTAATGGCCTCCAAATCAGCATGAAAAAATAAAAAATTGGCCAAAAAATAGGAGTTTTAGAGCCCAAAATTTGGTACCCCAAGTGGTGTCAAAAACGCGAATTAAATAGGTAATAATTGTTTTAGTCTCTTGAGTCTTGACACCATTTTAGGGTTAGACGGGTTCCTGCTAGTATTAATAAGACTTAAAGCCTAAGTTGACAACCTCTAGAAAAAGTTATACATTTTTCGAACTGACGAAAATTCATTAATTTACCCAGTTTCACTTGCAGAGATTAAAATGTAATCGGATTGGTCTATGTAAGGCACAAATCTGACACATGTTCTTTGTTCCCAGTTGTTCATCGCATCTCGTATGTGATGAATATCATCTCCATCAAATGCCGATTCCTCTATCTTAAAGGGGATAAGAGCATCAGGCCATAGTTCCCCCGCCTTCCCCGCTGTACCTCCCTTCCAAAAAGCAGCCACAAAATGTGCTGATATCAAGAGTAATAGAGCTATCATGTTACACGTGTTACTCCATACTGAGGAGTGGGTTTGGGTTAGTTTTTCATTGCGATGAGCTCAATTTAGTAATTGAATCAATCATAGATAAAGAAGATGAGCAATCCTATCTGCAATTATTAGATGCAACATTTCGGCAAATAAAGAGTAAGACACAATTCACAGCTCCTTAGATAAAGTACGAACAAATTAATTATTTACTATTTGATGGTTATAATAATACATCAATCATACTAACTTTCCAGAACTTCGATAAAATCATTGTAAAACGTAATTTTGAGGCACAAATTATTAGATTAAAAAACATAAACTGCATGAACACAACATAACATATATTGCATTTACTTCTAATGTTCATGTTGTATAATAAAATAAGGTAGCATAGTGCTTCACTCACAAAAAAAGTATATTACAAATTTCTAAAATAATATGATAGCGAGATTTCAAACTTTTCCGAATGATAACTGATGATGTCCTAATAAGCAGCAGGCCATCTTAATAAGGGCAGGAAAATGAAACTGAACTTTTGATGGCAGGCAGGGACATTCTCGGCAATTTCGGACTTTTATTCCTTCCTTGCGTTACCATAGAAAGCCTTTCACGCTCCCGTATATGAATTGAATTGTCACCCCGAGATGAAAAACGCCTGTTGGCTCTATCTGTTGTCCCTTGGTTTCTGTTGTTTTAATTTCTTGGATTGGCTTATGAGCTTTCGAGATCGATGACTTCGAGGAATGGATTGATTTCAAAGTTTTGCTGGCTTGACTTGAACTGGGGATGGAAACTAACTGCTTAGCACGATACGTCTCTCTATATCCCTGAGTAATACTGTAATTGAATCCTCCAATTTCACCTCCCTTGCTAAATTTGAATCTGTCAAAGTCTGAACAAGAAATCTGGACTTGATTGCTTTTCTTTCTTGGCGGAGCTGGAACAAGACCCTTAGATTGAAGAATAGTCCTACCTGCCATTTTATCTAGCATCTTTGACTTTTTGCTTGATTTCGGAACATGCTTAACGTAACAATACTTTTTCCAAAAGAAAAGCAATGATTGGAAAAGGTAACTAGTAACCTCGTTAAATAGCGTGTAAGAAATGTGCAGGTTTTTCTGACTCAACATAATATCGACAGCCAATGAGCATGGTATGTTGACCTGAAGTCGTGGAAGAACGGTCGAATCTAGAAATATTTCCACAATCATGTCTATTTTGTCAAACAGCATTTGCTCTTCCGTGCCATCGTAGGATAATTCTTTAGCAACTTGTCTGCTTGTTAACAGCAAATTTTTGTAAGCAAATATTTCTATCAAAAGATGCAGATCTTGAGGAAGTTTACTGGGATTGATAGCCAGACCTTTCCCAAATAACTTGTCTCTGTGATCGTTTTCAGTTAGGCTAGATTCTTTCTGTCCAGTCAGAAAATCCCTAAACTCCTCGAACTGGGAGGGAACCGCAAGAAAAGCGAGAAAGTTTGAAATTTTGGAAACAAAATGGGATAGGTGCTTGCAAAGGTTTTTGTTGAAGCCAGTTGTCTTGAAAGTTACAATTTCGTTTGCTGTGTAGAACTGCTCATCATCAACATCAGTGCTGCGAAACATTGTTGAGATATAGTTCGACCACATGTGTGTATAAATCCATTCCTGAATAACTGCACCAAGGAAAACTAGAAATGTTGGATACCCCGATTTCTTTTTGCTAATCATCTTATGCCTATTTTCTGGCAAGTCCATGTCATGCAAAATTGAAGATTTGCCGAAAATGAATGATGAGCAAACTCCTTTCGACAATTCACTGAAATCCACACAGTCTAATTTGTTCTCCAGTTCTTTCTGCGCGATTAGAAAATTTGTGACATTCATCAAATGGTCTTTTTCTGCTCCTTTAAACTTTCTGATAATAAAACGCCTAAAATGCTTCATTGATGGGTCCTGTAGAAACATGTCATCAATAGATGGCGGCGCTAAAGATACAACGTCTTTCTTCAGCGAATCTTTTAAAGAAGTCAATATTTTGGAAAGTCTTTGGTCGTGATCTGATATCTTAGCTTCCCAGTTGATGTAAAATACTTCTATCGATCGAGGTGCTTCCTTTTTTGCAGCTCGTTTGAATCTCTTTTTCTTCTTGGGATGATCATTTTGGGATGATGGTCCCGTTAGTGCCTCCTGGGCATCAACTTTCTTACCTTTTTCTTTCCTTTTTCTCATGATGAACATTTTCATTGCAATCATAGAGCTGAGAGTCAGCAAGGGCAAGGATAATTTTCTCAGTGAAAAAGGGAAAACCATCTTCTCACAAATGTCTATCGCAACCCACAAACGTCTAGATAAGGGGGAAAATATTGCTTCCACAATTAAATTTGAAGATTTTGGTCCCCCAAATAATCTGTTTCTCTTCTGACCATTTACTAAAAATGAATCACTTTTGCCCCAACATGCCTCCTTCTTCGAAAAACTTTCGTCATGGTTTGACATATAGTAGTAAAAGTTAGACGAGTCAAACTTGTAATACTTTTCTAATTCCTTTCTCAGTTTTGTGACTAGATGATCCTGCACTAGTGCCAAGATTTCGTCATTGCAACCTGCTGCTGTTAGCTGATCAGCAAGTGTTTTTATCACGATGGTATCATAAGGTTTTATGATTTGGTTTTCAGAAAAGAATTCCTGGATTAGTTTAAATCTCGCATTGAAGTCATTCCAAGAATCTTGATATTTTTTAATTTTGCGTAAACTATCATGGTACTGATGATATGGATCATCTTTCTTGACAGGCCATTCATCGTGACAACTTAGAAAACCGTTACCACCAAAACTTTTAGCACATGCACCTCTCCTGCCCCCTTCATTGGTTAGACAGCGGGTAATTTCGATACTTTCCCATAGATTCAAGTAATCAACCAATAATTCGTTGTTGTTTAACGTCAGATAATTTTTGAATGGTCCTCCAGCCAATTGATCTGAAGCAACAAGTGCTAAATAAAACCGCCCTTTGTCTTGCACCAGCATTGATTCGTCAGTTTTGTCTTTGATTATTTGATCTGAAACTGACTTATTTTCCTGATCATTTCCATTAAACAACAGGTTACCTTTCTGAGACAAAGAACTAGGTAGGCGGATAAAAGCTGAGGATTTCCTTTTCTGCATTATGTCTTGATATATAGTCTTTCTTCGCACAGCAACTGACATCTTATTGTCAAGAAGAACAGAGGATGGACGATCTTCACTTAAAGATGGACGATCTTCACTTAAAGATGGAAGTTTACCTGTTTTTTTAATCAAAGGAGGAAGTATTTGCACTTTTTTGGAGTCTTTTCTTCTCACCTGTTCTTGACTTATGGTTTTATCAACTTTTAGATCACTTTGTCTTGTGGTGCTTATGCCCTCTGAAGTGTCAATACTATCGTTATTTGGTATTGTTTTAAGGTTTCCAATGTGGGATGAAATAACGTCGGTATCCTTTAATTCCGCATCAGATTTGAGAAATGACGATTGTATTGATGAACTAATTTTAACAGCTGGTGAAGTGTTACTACTTAAAGATGATGGTACTATCGGAAATTTATCCTTAGAAGTTTCCCCAGTCAAAGTTGACTGATTAACAATGGTGGGATAATTTTTTCCTTCTATAAATGCAAGAGGTCTTCCATCAGGGCTGCTGCTATGGGAATCATTGTCAACTTGAGATGTTACATTCTTATCAACACTGACATCAATACTCATAGAGTAATTTGATAGTTGCGATTCAGAACCGTCTTTGCGGGATTGAGCTAGTTTTCTGATCTTTTCCAATGCCATCTGATTAACATCAATGGTCATTCTGTCTGTTATACATATCAGGGAC